TGGACTTGCCCCATGCTGCTACTTTAAGGAGCAGAAGGCAGAGAAGGTTGAGAATTCTAAATTCAAACCTAACACTTTAGGTTGTCACAAGGACATATTTGCCAGGACAGAGGATAGACCATATTTTAAATTTTTATTTTATTTTGTTATTATTTTTTTGAGACAGAGTCTTGCTCTGTCACCCAGGCTGGAGTGCAGTGGTGCCATCTCAGCTCACTGTAACCTCCGCCTCCTGGGTTCAAGCAATTCTCTGCCTTAGTCTCCTGAGTAGTTTGGATTACAGGCCCCCACCACCATGCTTGGCTAGTTTTTGTATTTTTAGTAGAGGTGGGGTTTCACCATCTTGGCCAGGCTGGTCTTGAACTCCTGACCTTGTGATCTACCCTCCTCGGCCTCCCAAAATGCTGGGATTACAGGCACAAGCCACCGCGCCCGGCTGATAAACCATGTTTTTAAGGTGGTTAGTTTGATGTGCAGCTGTGAAATCTTCAGACTTAAGTTATGGAGAGTGAGCCTCCCTTTCTACTCTTGCCCTGGACCCCACAAGTGTTAGGGGTGAGGCTAGAGAGAGAGAGAGAGATAATTGAGATTGGTGGGGGCTTGGTGGTGTGGCCCCAGCAGACTGAGGCTGAGTTGAACAGGGAGTTTTGAACATTGGCCCCTTCTGGAGTAGACTTTTCCGGGCCGCGTGGTACAGGGCTTACCTTCTCTTAGGTCTGTGCAGCGTGCAGGTGTCATCTGCTTGCCATCTCCTTTCTCTTGAGCCCCAGGAGAGCTGTACAGTGAATATGCTTCCCCCCACCACCGCCCGCATCTTAGATAGCGCTGTTATCTTAGACAGCTGTTTCGGGGCATGACAGGTCATCCTTCCAATGGGGCCTTTCTCTGATGTCAAAGGTCACATCCTCCTGTTAGCATCCCATCTTGTCTTTCTCATCTCTTCAAGTTAAGAGAGTCCCAGGGGCCCTCCCTATTCTTCTGCCACTCCATGGCTCCCCTTCTCCCTGAGGAGCACCCCTCTGCAAGGAGCCCCCTTGAGTAAACTGGCAGGGTCATGTCCATTCCAAACTGCACACTTTCATGGGGGAAAATGGAAATGCTGGAGTGTGATTGGGATGTTGAGTAGGGCTGGTTTATTCTAAAAGAGAAAACTCAAGGACGTCATGCTCTCTGTCTTCAAATATCTGAGGGGCTGTCATGCTGAAAAGGGAAGGGATTTATTCAGTGTTGTTGGAGTGTGAAGGAAGAGGTGGATTAAAATTCAGTGTGCAGAGAAGACTTTTGCCAGAGTGCTGCTCAGCGCTGGCTGGTGCTATCTTTGGAGGGGGTGAGCCCTCTGTCACTGGAGGCGTGCAAGTATCCCTAAAGGATATTTAATAGGGAACTCATGATCTAGAGGCTGGGGGGATGCCCTACTGCCCAGCCTCTAAAGCTCCCATCCCCAAGAATCTACAGCTTTAGGATTGTTTTAAATAGGATGCCAGGAGTTGGGGAAGGAATTAAAGAAATTCACTGAAGTGAGGACCAAAAGCTATAAAAAAAATCTTTATTTCATGTACCAGGATTTTTTTTTTTCAGTTTTCTGCTTTTTAAAATTTTTTTTCTGTTAACAGTCTGAAAAAAAAAAAAAAAAAAAAGACCCACCAAGAAAATAAATGGAGGTTAGTTTCTTGAACTGGTCTGAGCTGGACATGAGCAATCATCCACACCCTGGGAAGCAACACCCTTGCAGTTCCGGTCCTGGCTCCTTCCCTCCGCACCCCCTAGCCCCTTCTCAACCACGACGATGTCACCCACACCCCAGTGGCTTTCTTCAGGCAGACCCAGAACCCAGGCCTCGCACCATGGAAGGAAGCACTGATTGCCCTCCCAAACGCTCTGTCGGAATTCAGAGAATCGGAGCTAGTTTTTCTCTTCAGACAGTACCCACTTGGGTGCTGTTTCCTTGGGGCCTCTCCATTCTCCCTTGGCTCTTGTCCTTGATCCCTTTAGGTCTGGAATCTGGCGGGGTGGCGGGCAAGATTGGGGTGGGAGAGGGGTAGAGTTGAGTTTCTGCCCAGACTGAGGACAACTTGGTGGTGGTTACCACACCTTGAATTGTCTCCCATCGTTCTGCCCCAGGGCCCATGACCTCCCCCTGCACTTCTGGGCTGGGCTGGCCGATGTTCTGCCCTGTGCTGGCCTGGAAAACTAACTTTCCTTTCCCAGGCAAAAGACAGGAAAGGCAGGTGAGATGTGCAAGCTCAAAAAGCCTTGCGAGCCATTCTCTAGAACTCCCCAGAGAGCTCAACCTCAGGAAATGCCAGTGTTAAGAAAGATGCAAACCGAGGGAGACTCACAGGCAGAGGCAGGGGGCCTCACCTTGACCTTCAGTCACCTGGGAGTGACTTGCAGCCTGTTCTGAAATTTCCAGTTCAGGAAAGTTGTTGGATTTCTGACAGTCTGAACTGGCCCTTGTCACTCTGGGGAAGAAAGGGGAGAAACAAAGGATGCCCCTGGCCTTTAGTCTGTGGTGCAAGTTTAACTTTTGGGGTTGGTCCTTACACTGGGACGGAACTGCTAACATTTTCCTCTCCATCCCCTCAGCCTTAAGCCCTCCCAGCAAACCTCAGAGGATGCTCTTTTTCACAGATCCCCAAAGATACTGGGAAAGCTCTGGTGGCAGATCTCTTCTTCCAAGGAAGCCTCCTTAACTCTCCATGATCGCAGCAAGGGGACACAAAGTGAAAAAGGCCTTTGGGGACCCCTGTGTCTTTCCCTTCTTTGCCTGAACAGCGTTACATTTGCTCACATGTGTGTATTTTTGCTTTGACATTGGATGTGGGGCAGGGGTTTGGGGAGCACAGTGAGGAGGTATATGGTGTGTGTGTGTGTGTGTGTATGTGTGTCTGAGAGGCTGACTGATGATGAGCCTGGGGGCCTGGTGGCAGCTGTCCTGGTCATCCCTGGCATATCCTTGGGGCAGGTGGCAGATCTGAAGTCACAGATACATAGAGCAAGAATGGGCCTTTAGTGCTTATCTGGGTCAATCCACATGCTTACATGGGGGGAAAATTAAGGGCCAGAGAGGCCATGCAGCAAGGAATTCCGGAATCCAGTCCTGGATTCTAGATGGGTGCCCTTCCCATGCATGCGAGTGGTGTGTGCGTGTGTGTGTGTGTGTGTATGCGTCCATGTGTGTGTTCATGTGTGTGCTGTGTTGGAAGGGTCTGAATGAACACAAAGGCCAGTGTGGAGTTGTTGTGGTCCATGGCTGTGGAGGGCATGAGTCAATTTCCTTTGAGCCACGCCCCTGGCTATGTATGGGATGGAAGGGTTGAGACTGAGTGTGTCCCTGTGAGTGACTGCGGTGCTGGGCTAAGTGGACTGTGTATGTGTGTGTGAACGTGCATGCATGCGTGCGCGTGGGGCGTGTGGTCTCTTTGTTGGATTCTGTCTTCCCCCATTCACAGCACCTTCCTGGTCTGAGGAAGCCACCTTTCCATCACAGAGACCTCCTGCAGCTCACTAGGACCTTCCCCTACTCCCTCCAACCTTCAAGCCCAGCTCTCACCTCTCACGACGGTTTTGCTTTGTTTTTGTAAATGGATTTGTATATTCGTTTTCTGTTTTTTTTTTCTTTACAAGTTCCCTGCTAAATTTTAAGTCCCCCACCCCACCCCATTTTTTGTTTTCACAGTTTAAAGCTGGAAAAGAATTAAAAGAAAAATACTATCTGATTTTCTTGCAAGTAAATCCACTTATTTTATATTTACATTTATTTATAGTCTGTGGTTTTTTATTAAAAAAAAATCACCACTTGTTTTTCCTTTTTCTTTTGTAAAAAGAAACCTTTTTGCAGTGTCATTGTTGAACCCGCTGGGCCCCAAGAGGGCATCAGTGAGTCCAAGGACCCCCAAAGGGTCAATGAACCCCCTTCCCAGGGAACTGGGGGGCTTATGAGTCTGGGGGTCCACCATCACCCCAGGGTCATCAGGTGGCCCTGAGGTGAGGGGTGAGGAGGGAGAGCTGTTTCATGTCCCCCGGGGGTTGGGTGTCTCCTGACCCCAAGGACAGGAGCTTGGGGACATGACCCCAAGAGGCTCACCCTGAGGACTCCGGGGTTTCCGGCATCTTGGTAAGCCACCGGCGGCCTCCCCTCTCCTTCCCTTTCCTCAAGGCCTAGGAAGTCATCACAGTGGGTTAAGGACCATTAAGGACTGGGAACCTGGGGCCAGGCAAGCCCCAAGTGTACCCCGCTCCAGGCACCCTAACGGAGAGGAGGGACAAGGGCTCGGTCACCTGGAGGCCTACAATTGCCCCATCAATGCTGGGTGGAGGCGGCTCAAGCCCTGAGCCTTCCCCGCGTTCCTGGGGCACCCACCCAGGGGCTCCAAGGACCTGGCAGTGACTGCAGGCTCACCTGGCCCCGGGGCCCCTGAGTCTCGCCCCCCACTCTCCCAGGGAGGCAGGGCCCGCTGGGGGTTAAAGGGAACAGAAAAGTAACTCTCCCGGCGTTAAAAAAAAAAAAAAAA